CCGTCGCCACAAGCCTGTTCGCCTTGCCGTGTTACGGTAAGCTCTCGGGGGGGACACGACGGGGGTCCGACCCCCCCCCCCCCCCCCCAATCGTTTTGTAAAGTCAGAGTTTGACTCTGGCCCTGTAATTTACTTTGAGCTGCCATCTTTCAAACCTTTGCTGGTTGAAGTCAGACTGATCAAGTTTCAGTCGAGAAAATTCTTCGAGGTTATAAATCGGGACTTCAACGTTTGGCAGCGCGGTGGCGCAGTGGTTAGAAGGTTGCAGTCTCTGAATGAATTAACTTTCTTTAACAATCCTCTTTGTGTTGAACTACTTTTATTCACTAACTACAAAGTTGCAGTACGGCATCATCAATATTCAATATTCTCCCTGTATTAAAGTAAAGGTGTGTGAGAGAGTCACATCCCAGAGACGGTTTGAACGTTGCAAAGCATGCTGGGTAGGAATTATGAGTGCATTGTTTCTGACTTCCATTTTGTTGTATGGCTACCTCTTAAGTGTAAAAGATCCTTTTGAAAACTGGGTTGCCAGATCAAAATCCAAGATGGCCACCATCATATAGATGTAAATCAACCACCCGATCTTTTGAGGAAACAACACTTTCTAGTTTTACACCGTTTAAAGTACAATGTCCTCAAATGACTGGTGTGGACGATGGAAACACTGGTAAAGGGATGGATGTCAAGCTCAAAAACGATGTCCACTTCCTGTCCAGACGAACTTATAACGAAAGAAAAAAGTTTAATTTTATGTACAAAGTTTTAAAAAACTATTTTATATTTCTGCTGTTTGGAGGATTTTATTACTTTTATTACTCTTGGATTAACGTGACCTGTGACACGGAGCTGAGCCTCGTCCCACAACAAGGTTCCAGTTGGTCGGACCCTCCAGCTCTCGTGCGCTGAACAAAGGCCTCTCGGCTGATTGGATGAAGCCTTGTGTATTCTGCTGCAGGCCTAGTCGGCGCTCCCCGTGTGCTGCTGCGTGTTGTTTCTTGTTCATGAAGGCCTCGCCTGCTCTTTGTTCTTCCACTCTGCTGGTGTTGGTTTGGATAAAAGCTTCTGAAACATTTACTTTGTAGTTTAAAAACACAACTAGAACTCAAACATGCAGGTTTAATGTTCTCTGTTAATACTTTCTAAAGCAGCTAGACTGAAATGGCTTTAGTTCTGTTTTATCTGTGATGACCGTATTAATGGACAGTAGTAAAGCTGGATTTGTTATCTGCAAGAATCAAAGAACTCTTTTCTTGCAAAGTAATTTTGTTCCACAAGTCTAGGCAGAACTTTTTTCTCACAGGGTCATGCATCAGTCAGAACTTCAACCATCGGGCCGAGGCTGTAAAACAATATGGACTTCTTTACGACAGATCCAGTAAAACCTATAAAGACAGTCAAAGAACTTGTGGAAGGAGGAGACGGAGTGCTGGCTGTTGGGGAGGAACCTTGTATGGACATGTTCCCACACAGGCTGCAGGAACCAGCACCGCTCTCTTCATATATTTTTGCAAACGCCAGACGGCGTGCACGGTCTCGGTCTGTATAGCAATTACATCTGGTCATGATCAAGGGAGTAAAATTCTGTCTAGAGGGGTTCCCCAAGATTTCTGCACTGCTGTTTCATATCGAATATGGAGTGTCCACTCCAAAAGAACATCTTCCATCTACAGGCTGCATGTTGGGAGATGTGAGAGCAGACTCCTTGGCTTCTTGGGGAGTATAAACCCAGCTGTAATCCTGCACAGATCCAGCCAGCATCTAACTCCACTGCTCTGTTGACAGGAGAAGATCGGCTGGAGGAAAGGGGCCCTTCACCTGCTGGTTTTCGCCACAGACGATGTGCCGCACCTGGCTCTGGACGGCCGGCTGGGAGGCCTCGTCCAGCCCCACGACGGACAGTGTCACCTGAACGAGCAGAACGAGTACAGTGCCTCCACAAAGATGGTAAGAAGGGGGGTGGGGTGGGCTCTGTTACACGATTATCACAAGAACTACACTGCTCTGTTAGAAACTAACAGCTACAGAAAAGATGAAAGCAGTTACTTCAACCTTTATTTATACAAGTTAGTCTCACTGAGCCATGAGGACTCATTTAGAGAGACCCGTTTATAATAGTTTAATAATCTTTTGTTAACACAGTGGTTCCCAAAGTGTCGGGCGCACCCCCTATGGGGGCGCAAAGCTTTTGCTTATAGGAGCCCAGTATGACTGAATGGAAAATGAATTCTTGGACACTGCTAGTCCGTCCGTCCGTCTGTCCATCCATTCATCATCTTCCGCTTGTTCTGAAGTCCGGTCACAGGGACAGCATCTTGAGCAGGGAGGTCCAGACATCTCGCTCCACAGCCTCTTCTGGGAGGTCTCCCAAGGTGTTCCCAGACCATCTGAGAGACGTAGTCTCTCCAGCGTGTCCTGGGTCTTCCCCGGGACCTCCTCCCAGTCAGACATGCCTGAAGCACCTCAACTGGCTCCTCTTGATGTGGAGGAGCAGTGGTTCTACTCTCTCTCCTGATAACTGAACTTCTCACCCTAAGGGAGAGTCCAGCTACCATGCAGAGGAAACTCATTTCAACCTCCTGTATCCATGATCTCATTCTTTCGGTTCATGACCATAGTTGAGGTTAGAAACGTAGCCCGATCGGTAATCGGAGAGCTTTGCTTTATGGCTCAGCTCCCTCTTCACCACAACGGACCGGCACAGATTCCACCATACTGCAGATGCTGCACCAATCCATCTGTCAATCTCACGCTCCGTTCTTCTCTCACACATGAACAAAACCCCAAGATTCTTGAACTCCTCCACTTGAGGCAGAACCTCACTCTCGACCTGAAGAGAACAATCCACCCTTTTCGGACTGAGGACCATGACCTCAGATTTGGAGGTGCTGATTCTCAATCCAAGCCATTTCACAAATCGCTCCAGTGAGAGCTGGAAATCACGGCACAATGACGCACAACAGGAGCACGTCATCTGCAAAGTGCAGACATGGAATCCTGAGGCCACCGAACTGGAAACCCTCCACCCCCTGGCTGCACCGATAAATTCTGTTTATAAAAGTTATTAACAGAATCTGTGACAATGGGTAGCCCTGGTGGAGTCCAACTCCCACCCTGAAGGGGTCTGACGTACTAACGGCAATGTGAACCAAACTCTTGCACCCCTTGTATAGGGACTGAACAGCCCGTAGAAACGGGCCCCCAATCCCATACGGAGCACCCCACACAGTGTACCTCAAGGAACACGGTTGAAAGCCTTCTCCAAGTCCACAAAACACATGTAGACTGGATGGGCAAACTCCCCTGAACCCTCAAGGACCCTAGTGAGGGTAAAGAACTAATCCAGTGTTCCACTTCCAGGATGGAACCCACATTGTTCTTCCTGGATCTGAGGTTCGACCAATGCTCTGACTTGCTTCTCCAGTACCCCTGAACAGACCTTACCAGGGAGGCTGAGGAGAGTGATGCCCTTACAATTGGAGCACACCCTCCGGCCTCCCTTTTTTGAAGAGGGGAACCACTACCTCAGTCTGCCAATCCAGCGGCACTGTCCCCGATGTCCACGTGATGTTGCAAAAGCGTGTCAACCAAGACAACCCCACAACATCCAGATCCTTAAGGAAATCGGGGTGAATCTCATCCACCCCCGGAGCCCTGCCACCTCGGACCTTTTTAACTACCTCGGTGACTTCAGCCACGGTTATGGATGGACCAATACCAAAGTCCCCCGACTCAGATTTCTCCATGGAAGACATGCCAGTGGGATTGAGAAGGTCCAAGAAGTATTCCTTCTACCTCCCTATGAACTCACTGGTTGAGGTCAACAGCACCCCACCTTCACTGACCACAGTGTTAGTAAATGCTGTTTTTCCCTCCTCAGCCGCCTGATGGTTTGCCAGAATCTCCTTAGAGCCGACTGAGAGTCTCTATCCAAGGTCTCTTCTTGTATATCAGAGGTACCCAACAGAAAAAGGTTTGGCAACCACTGTGTTAAAGGAACAAGGTGAACCTGTTCTATAGTGAAGGAAAGTTTAGCAACCATGACCTTCAAGGAAATGCTGTGGGTGAATTTAAGTGGGGCAGGGCGCCCCTCCAGTAGGGAAACATTGGAGGAAATGTTCTTTTGATGAGCTTTTGTATTTGATACAAAATCAGTTATTGTGATAAAAGTGCAGTGGAAGCCCATCGGGGGTTCAGGAGGCCATCCATCTGTTTTATCCATGTTCACGTGAAGAAGAAAACCTCTGATGTCTGGTTCCCTGCAGGACTATCCATCTCTGGCTTTGCTCGGAGACAAACTGGCTGAAAATAACATCTTCCTCATCTTCGCTGTGACCAAACGGCTGTATGTTATTTACAAGGTACTCTCAATTTGTTCTTTCTAAATGAAACATTTGTTTATTTAAGCAAACTCGTTTTCACAGTTTTTATTTTTTAATATTTTACAAAGAATTTCACCGTGCTAATACCAGGAACCAGTGTGGAAATTCTTGACCAGGACTCCAAGAATGTCCTTCAGCTGATT